AAATGAATTTTGTTTTGCATTACAAATATAAATAAGTATTGCATAAGATAAAAGAAGAATGGATCAAAGAGAATAAAAGAAATAGAAAGCCATTAAAATAAATGTGTAAAACGCATTTCAAACAATTGCCGTCTTCGGATGTATCTGATCTTCTCGGACCTTTTTAAACATTTGAAATGAAAGTGAATGTAATAATATAGTACAAACCTCGTCGTCAATTTTAATCAGAGAAAATATGTATCCATTGTTTGCCATTCGACATTCAGATATATCAACGATGCTTTATCAATGAACAATAGTTACTTTCATTCATATGCCGACTCGATATATCCCAGTGAACTTGAAATTATACCTGATATAAACAAGAAAACATTGATGTTGCCATCAGTTGTCGCCCGGGAAATAAATAAAGTAAAACCATTGGAAATTAGTCTTGAACATTAGACCGCTTCGATTTGTATGATAAAGGAATGCATCTGAATGATCGATACTATCGGATGAAAATCGAACAAAAACGATACCGTTTTAAACATTATCATCTCCTTAAGAAACTGTTGGCTGCATAAAATATAAATTAGAATCAGACGCATGTATCATCTTTCATCAAAAATATATTTGACTTAATGAATTTAAAACATAGACTGTGTAACGTGCGTTTTTATGCGATAAGAAAAATTTAATGTTCTAAAAAAGGTATCTGTCGTTTTGTCGATAATAAATTATAAGCATTCTTGTATATTACATATGAAAAACATACATATTTTTAAAGATATACTTCATGGAAGTAAACATATTGTATATCTCGTAATTTATAAAGGGAAAGAACATTCTGATGTATAATCTTTTTAATGTATAGTTAACCTTTAATTCTGAATAACATCTCCCACCTCAATCCCCATACACCAAAACTTAAACTTATATGTATAGAGCAGCCCGGTCCTCCTAGTAAAATAGAATCCGATTGGTTGAGAAAGTCACGTGACCGTCATGTTTGCCCTGCAACAAAACGTCGTGTTTCACGATGTTGACGTCTCAATGCGGCGACTGAAATGGTTTCTACTGCGTTAGATTGTTTGAATCGTTGATTGTTTGTATCGATTCAAACAAGTAAAATGTTAATATTTAAAAAAGTGTTTTCCTAGGTTGGGTTTGAATGTAAGTCGTGTGTAAATCACACAGACTTTTCGCGAAAGATTTTTACATCTGCTTCATATTGTTCTTATCAAATGTTTACTTTATTCATTGTACGTAACTTTATCTTTCCTGCATTGTGCTTGATTAGGTATGATAAACAATATACTGCATAAACGTTCGGGAGACATTATTAGTTACATGTAATTATGCAGGTCGAAACAAGGGTGTACGGGAATTTACCCCGGATTTTCTACCATACACCCTGAGCCGAAGGCCGAAAGGTGAATGGAATACAACCCGGGGTAAATCTCCGTACACCCTTGATTGGACCTGGATAACGATTTTATTTCCTATGTACCCAAATAAATTCTTTGTAAACAAGTCCAATCAACTGTGTTTCAAGCTATCGATTAGATTTACTACGTCCTACAATGAATCGTGACGTCATGCTATTTGCTTTTTATCAGAGAGAAATTATGAATTGTGACGTCACGTTTTTTTAACCCCGGCTCAAATCGGGTGTACGGAAATTTACACCCGACTTTGTAACCAGTTAAAGGTCGTGTTACAAGCTTAATAGGAAATAAGAAGATTTCTTCACCTATGAAAAATCATATTCCCCTTGGGCGTTGCCCTCAGGAACATGATTTTTCATGGGCAAAAAAATCTTCATGTCTCCCTGACTATCATGCAAAAAATGTATAACAAACATCAAAGAGTCTGCCACATCTGTTTCATATTTAGAAATTTTAGTGACTTTAGCTGATAAGGGCCAATTAGCAACTAAATTGTATGACAAACGAAATGACTTCAGCTTTTCCATCATTAAATTTCCTTATTTATGAAGTAATATTGCACTATCACCTGGTAATGGTGTTTATATCTCCCAACTTATTCGCTACTCAGGTACGATCAATTATTAAAGTGGGGCATGCCCTTCACTGTTAAGCTGATTTTACAGGGATTTCAACAAACTCGTTTAAAGTCGGCATTTCTTTAATTCTATGGTCGTTATAATGGCCTTGTCAACAAATATAACCTATCATTAAGTCGAGTTTTGACTGACTTGTTTCATATCAATAGGGTTCGCCGACCACCGTCTCTGGTTCTAAATTTTACTGTGTTGTTATGGGGTATACGAAAGACGCTTGATCACGTCACACGTGCGCTTTAGCACGTTATTTTCACTTTCTCACTTTTGTTTATCACCTTGATTACGAGTTTGCGATGGTTATATACCTTTGAGTTCCTCGTTTTGGGCGGTAAAATGGTCACAGATATACCAAACTATGCTGTAATATAACTAAAGTGGCGTGTAGCCATAAAACGAGAAGATCCTACGACGAAACGGTTACATGGCGTCCCTGGATACAGCTAAAGATCACACTTTTGTAGTTTGCCACTGCTATTTCCAAGAGTCTGACTAAGGGGTCAGAGTCAGGTGCAGTAAGATTGATTTATTGATAATCTGTACAATATAAAGGATTTCTTGATTTCATCAGTGTTCACTTGATTGCTATTGCATGTAATGATTTATTGAAGTTCATGTAGCTTAATTTAAATGTTTCTGTTTTGTTTTACATTTCAGAATTCAGGATTTCCAATACTAAAGTAAGTACAAAGAATCTGGGGGGATAAGACGAGCCATGTGCCCATGCCCATTTTTCGGCTAAGCAAGAACATTTATTGGAAAAAATCTCTCAATTGTTCGAATTTACTTAAGCATTTTAATGTTTACCGTAGTTTTCAAAATGATATTTATATTCTAAACAAGCTAAACAGTTGACTTTCATTACTGTCACAAATGTCTAACATGGGTAAGGACTTCTATTAATTAATCTGCATATTGAGTGTTTACACTTATTGTGGAGATATTATAGAAATGTTAACCTCGTATATAATGATAATGGTGATCTAGAAGCGGTTTTATCTAAAATAAATAAAACGGGAATAAAAGTATTCAAATATCTATTATAATTTTTATCCGGCATTTTAAATAATTTACTGTAAATAAGTTCATTACTACATGTATATATTTTATTTCCAGTGAAAAATATGTTATTCCTATAGACATTTTTTATAAAGTAAAACAAAATTAAAACCAAAAAAATAAAAAAAAAAATAAATAATAATAATAAAAAAAAATCAGAGCATGACTCGAACACTTTCCTCAATAAACGACCCTTTACAGAGCTCATCGCTAACCACTAGACCACGGAGTCACACCAACATTTCCTTTTAAATAGCATACAGTTCTCTATATTTAGCAAGCGTTTTTGGACTTAGAATTTTTTAAGACCACGGTGAAAATTTAAGTAAGTTAACTTAATTTTTTATGTAGAGTGGGTCTTCATACCAAATTTTTGCAAGTGTAAAAAGCAACATCTTTCCACTGCCTTTCATTAATCGTTCTCAAAAAAATGGTACGATGACCCACTCTATTTAAAAAATGTAGTTATATCATCCAATTTATGTCAGTTTCTGTGAAAATTGAGCGTGATGCCATTTTGTTGTGTTAATCAGAATCATTTTCGCTGTTACAGTATTCAGGTTTTGTCAAATTTATATGCAAATGGTAATAAGCATTACATTAATTCAACAAAAAGTGAAATTTTTGTAAAATGAATTTATTGATTTTTTATCGATCGTTATGTAGGCATATGGCTCGGCTTATCCCCCCAGTTTCTTTAATCATGCATCATGCAAGTCTCGTAAAAAAAAAAAGTGAATTTATTGTTTTTATCTATCACTGAGCCATAATATGTAAAGAGTTATGACTGTATGAAAAGTGAATCACAAAATAAGATTACATAATAAATGTAATTTGATTCAACAAAAAATAATAGTTTGGTTAGATTGAAGTGCTTGCTGAAGTCCAGTAACCAGATGTGACTTCAATTTCAGCACAGCAAGTGATGGAAGACAATTTGAAGAGACTCCACATTGTTAAAAGCAACTGTGGGAAAAATAAGCAAGTACCAAGCACCTCATCTGTAATGGAGATGACATGTAGTAATCAAATCCAACATGCTGTTATTTTTTAATTTTCTACAGGAGAGACTACCCCTGAATACAAAGAACCTATTCATAAATAGATCCAATATCCATGCAGACTTTGGACAACTTTTCTATTGACCACTTCCAGAAATTGAGAACTGTAAAATAGTTTAGGATTACACTAGTTTCAACAATTAAACATGTTCAGCTATTTGTCAATGCCTGTGGTATATGAACTGAATTTTATCCTTTATATATTTTGCAATAGCTAATTCTGGAAAATGTTACTTAGTCGACAAAAGTGCACAATAAAAATGCTGAAGAATTAAACTAATTACAGTCAATGTGAAAGCTTAAATGTACAACTTCTTCTTTTACATGTACCAATCCAATGTTTAAGCTGTAAACACTACTCACTGAAAAGTTCTAATTACAGTAAAACATGCTTATAGCGAATATGCTTATAATGAAGTGACGCTTAAAGCGAAGCGATTTTCATTCTCCTTGACTTCAAATGTACTGAATACTTAACAGATGTAACGAATTATGCTAATAACGAAACAAGATTGTCAGTCCCAGAACTTCCTTTTCAGAGTGTTTACTGTATATAATTGGATTGTGATCTGGCATTTGAAGAAAAATAAACAGAAATCTTCAGAAAATTACACAATTTGAAAAACAGTTGAAAAAACATGTATTCCTAATATGTTAGACCAAAATATAGTTACTGATTACATGACCTGTATATATTTTGCTAGTACATGTATAAGTAAACAGCATTCATGTGAATACTTCATTGTCTTTAAACATTTTCCCTGGAAAAATATGGCAGGTACATGTATTCTATGTTAAAAATGAGCTACATAAAATCAATATGTACACCTTTATTTGATACAACTTTCTTAAAACATTTTTCATTAGTGTTTGGAGCTTCCTTAAATATATTCAAGGCTTGATCACCTGGACAAAAAAGTTGGAATATAATTGCAAGAATTGTAGATAAATTCATTTACTTAATACATGTCTTTCTACAGAGGGAATGCAAAAATCTGGTGATTAGTAGCTGTAGTAATTGTGTAGATGGTTATACATTTATCTTTTACATATAACAAACGATGCTAAGATATTTCCTGTAGTATTAAAATGAATAGAGGAGATCCAATTTTAAATAAACAGGATTAAAATCTTTTTGAATTAACAAATCTGAGAATGTAAAAGAGATGTATCAGAGAAGTGAAGTTCTCATTAAGAGATGTACAACTGATCTCGCTTTGAATTCATTTTCAATACAATTTCATTGAATTCATGATCCACAGTCAAGAAATTGAAGTATTTAAACAGTAGTTGATGACCATATTCCTGTCCCTATCATGGAATCCATGATTATTTCTATAATGGTTCTGGCCAGGAGTTATCAAAGAAGTCATTAAAATTTCTTTCTTCAGTGATCTGCTGCTTCAATCGGAGAGGCTGAAATAAATAAAAGTTTATTTATCCATAATATCAAGCTTCAGAAGTGGTAAAATGATTGTTACTGTATATTTTGACTGAAGTATGCAGAACTCATGTATAGTATGTAAATATATTGTCAGGAAGGCTATAGGCTATCCATACAGTTATTTAGTAGAGGTGTAACGATACAGCAATACATCGATCGTATTGATCACTTACGTATCGCCATGTATATATCGTGATACAGTACATTATAATTTTCATTGTTTTGTTTGAAACTTCTACATACAAGCTAACAAATTTTAATGTTTTAAAATGACTGAAAACAAGGTAGCAAAGAAAAAATACATTGTCAAGACTATAAATCCACCTATAATAAACTTTGGTCAGGGGTATCAAGATATTATTTTTATATTTTCTATAACTGTATAACTGTTAGCAATGAATAATGTGTTAAGATAACAGTCAATTCAATTTTTGACAGCTGTATCATGATACATCTTGTATCGCATGACCGTATCATGATATGTATCATATCGTTAGGTAGCTTGCAATACTCAAGCCTATTATTTAATTACATATGTTTTTAATTTAAGTACATCTTGGGATTAAGTTTATACCTGAAAAATGAATATTTTGGCTAAATTATGAAATTTTTGGATATTTTCTGTATTTGATCTCCTGATCATCAGTCTATTCAAGATTGCCTGCAGCAAAATGGTGTAACATCAGGAACACTGAAGCTTAATGTTTACACATCCCGTGGTACCCTGTGCCTCCCAGTTATTCATAGTGGGAATTTAAAACTTCTTCTGTGCCATTTATCTACAGTTTGAAGTTCTAGTTGACCTAAATAAAATGTTAAACAATCAAGATGAATTATAGAACATTGCAAAGAGTAATATATGTTTTAAAATACTTGTGATCTTTTATTAAATTTGTAAAATTGGGGGTGATTCAATCATTAAAGTATCTATAACAAGAATTATCATTAACATTTCAAGTGTGGAATATGGGCTGCATATAGATTCTATCGTTAAAATGATATTGTCCTCAGATCCGGTGAGGGCTTGACCCGAGACACAGATTATTCTTACTAGGGCTGCATAGTACAGGTACATACAGATATCTCAAATATCTACGGAACCTAAATTTCAATGTTAGAGATACCAAATTTTAACTGTACTACTAATAATATATAAGATCCCCTTGCGTTAATATATAAAGTATGAATATTAATGAACATACACAGTAAACAAACCTGCAAGTCTGCGCATAAAGTACACATCTATTTGTTGAACACAGATACAAGGCAGATCTCAATGTTATGACTGAAGTTGTTAACACATCTTGAAGGCCATAACACGTTATACCATACATTCCACTTTTAGGTTCAGACAGCAGAGGCTGGACGCCTTCACATTCTACAAGTTTTATATTGAAGTTAAGTGTCAATCTGACAATGAAGAGTATGTTAGACATAACAATGACTGTGATGTGAGAGACAAAGGTACATGCAGTACGTCCTCTAACGTCAACAAGTGCACACTTTCGTCTGCAAAACATTATTACTACGAATGATAGTAATTCCCATGTTTTGCTGAATTATTAACTTTAAGTACCTTTCTATCAAATCTGCCTTTCTGCCACGTGTTTACATTCCTCCTTTTCTCATATCCTCTCTTAAATCGCTTCATTAAATGTAAATAAAGCGATGTCTTGCGAAACAGTACTTTCACGGTTTTGACGTTTTTAACTTTGTTTACAAGCGTCTTGGTGAAATCAAGCGTTCTCCGTATACCCCATAGCAAAGTAAATTTAGAACCAAAAACGGTGCTCGGCGAACCCTATTGTAAGGTCTATGTTTTTATACTGAATTTGACTGCGGAAAATTCCGTCTATGTGATCAATACATACGGCTCACGGCGGGTGTGACCGGTTAACAGGGGATGCTTACTCCTCCCAGGCACCTGCCATGACCTCTGAAATTTCCAGGGGTCCGTGTTTATGCCCTTTTCACAGATTTATATTGTTTATAGATTTTTTTAGATCACTGTTCGTTATCTTCACGTTTTACATTACTTCTTTAAGGAGGAATGATCTGATTTTTAATAACGGACAGTAACAATGTCTCTCTGTTAGGATTATTTTAATGAATATTTTCTGCAGCTTTGTAATATGCCGGGTAGAAGCCGTTTTAAGAAAAACAAATATTGCATATTCTCGATAATTTTTTTTAGTTACAAAACAATACATATAAGGCAATACAACAATATATAGGACATAAGAAAACAAGTTACATGTATAAATATTCGAAATTTATCGTATATTGGTAAGTCTCCAATACATGACTAATTTCATCGTATTTTGTTTTTAACTGATGGCCATTAATAGACTAAGTATTTTATCTGTGTTGCACTTTGAAAACACCATGTCTTTTCCACTTAATAAACCGAACAATTCTTTAGATCTACAAACCACCTAGTCTCATTAATTATTTAATAAGTATGACTGTAGAAATATAATTTGCGATGAAGTAGACTTTGATACCGACAATTTATATAAATTCCTCATATTAAGGTACTTTATGTATACTACCACAGAGTTCTTTCGACTTGTCAATGGGACTTCAACAAATGAAGGGCGGGTAGAGGTGTTTATCGGGGGCAAGTGGGGCACAGTCTGTGATGACGGCTGGGACGTTAAGGATGCAATTGTCGTCTGTAGAAGTTTAGGATTTTCAGGGTAAATATTCACTGTATTTTACACTATTGTCTAACATAACAGTATACCGTAGAACTATCGAAAATGAATACTTTCAATGACTTGTTTAATAGAATCGCAACTGCTCACCAAGGACGCCATTTTGTTGGAGGGTCGGGAACTATTTGGTTGGATAACGTAAACTGTGACGGAACAGAGGCATCTCTATTTGAGTGTACTCACAACGGCTACGGGAAGGAAAATTGTGGTCACCATGAAGATGCCGGTGTAACATGTACTTAATTCTTATGAAGAACAGTAAAAATTTCGCATGATACATTTATAAATGTTAAACATTATTCATATAATCCTATATACTGATGTCGCTGAATCTAAAGTGTAAGTGCTCAGAAACGAAAATTAAACGAATATAAAAATTATTAAGACAAATCTTTTTGTAATCAAACGAAGTCTTGCAAAATACATGTATAATTATAATGGAGTAAAGTATATTCTACATTCAATGTTAAACACGATTTAATGCGTCAGAGCAAGGATATACAAAAAATCCAAGAGGAGACAAGTTCCTTCCAAAGTTTTAATTTTATATTGTCTTTTGGTATTTTGGTATCAGCAAAATAATAGTAAAGTGATGACAAAAATTAACCATAATATTTTAGGAATCACAGAGACTACATGTAGCATCGACTGAGATCTATTTCCAAGGGGCCCGTTTCAATCTAATTTCTAAATTGATATGTTTAGACTAATCTAAACATTTGAGTTCACCTGAGTAAACCTGAGTTTACTCAGGTGACCTTTTGCTTTCTGTTTTCGTCCGTCGCTGTGCGTTAACTATTAAACATTTTCAGCTTCTTCTTGGGAACCATTGGACCGATTTCAACCAATTTTGGTATATATTCAATCTTTTTTTCTCCTGGAAATCAAGCAGTCAAACTATTTGCATGATTGTAATAAACCATAGAACCCCTCTTCAAAAATTGGGTATTAATGTTTCGGCAGAGCTCTTTTGATTTTGTAGCGAAAATGCATTAATGCTTTGAAAATCTCCTCTGCTCCTGGGTATAAGCAAACAAACTAAATGCATAGTAATGATGAGCAGGAGTGCCTCTTCCGAAATTGTGAATTTCATGGTCCCTGGGTCAGGGGTTCTGGCCATGGTCTGAGGGCGGGACTCTATTGATTTTATAGCAAAAATGCATAAATGCTTTGAAAATCTTCTCCCCTGCCCCTTAGTATTAAGCAAACAAATTAAATTGAATGTTATAATTTTAAACTTAATGTTTAAATATATAGATATGTGTCTTTTCTTTGCTTCTGGGTATCTATGAGGCAAACAGAGTATAAAATTGTAGTAAATAAAGCGAATGAGAGTTTCTTCCCTTTGCTAAGCTGTATTAGTCAAGATTTCAAAATCTTGTATATAAATTAATTACCAGGTTACATGTATTTGATTGAATGAGAATATAAGAATATTAATGTTATATATATATATATATATATATATATATATATATATATATATATATATATATATATATATATATATATATATATATATATATATATATATATATATATATATATATATATATATACAGTAAAACTCGGTTATAGCGAAGTTCTGGGGACTTGATAATTTACTTCGCTATATCCGTAATTCGTTATATCCGTATAACAAATACGTATACATGTACATAGCGACTTCGCAATTTTTTTCCTTGAAGTATGACTACCAAATGTATTAAGGGAAGTATAAAATATAAAATTTACCTTGGAGTTCAAAAATGTTCGGATGAATAGTGTTCTAAATATATATATACCTACAAAGTAAATGTCAGTTCAATATTTTAAAAATTAATAAAAGATGTAAATTTCGTTATTTTTAACTTCTAGGGAACACAGAATCAGTTCGCTATAACCGTAAATTCATTATTTCCGAGTTCGTTATATCCGTAACATTTTACAAGGAATTGTTAAGAATTTCGCCGGGGATTGCAAAAATCTTTATATCCTTAAATTCGTTATATCCGTGTTCATACTAAACAAGTTTTACTTTATATATATATATATATATATATATATATATATATATATATATATATATATATATATATATATATATATATATATATATATATATATATATATATATATATATATATATAAACAAAAAAAATGAATATTTTAAATGAGCAAAGCATGTTCAAAGTAAAGCAATATAAAAGATTGAGATAAAGATTATTTATGTAGCGAAATGGCCAATTTTACAGAGTGTGTATACTGTGGTGTCCTATCTGACAATTGACGAGTTATTTTCGGGTAAAATCATTGAAACCATAGTCTAGATGGTAAAAGACTGCATAATGTTGCTTTATACTTTATCAAAGTGACCATGTGATCAGAGAAAGCCAGGGTGACTAAGGGACTTGTAGTTTGTGACAAGTGGCAAATAGCCACGTTATATAGCCAAGTGGCGAATGCTAGCAACAAGTATTACCAAGTTTTTTGTATAGTCAAGAAGCAAGTGTTGGTACCAAGTGGCAAGCAGCTAAGTTGTTTGTGTAGCCAAGAGGCATTACCTCGAGTAAATATACAGGCATTAGATATTTCTCATTGTGAACTTAATCTTAGCACTGGGCAAGTGACAAAAACATATCTGTATATCTTGAATACTTTGAATGAGTACCTTTTACACACTCGGCAAATATCCATTGTATTTGTATATTTTGAATTCATTATCATCCTTGTAAGACTTTGTTAAATCAAGAACGAGCCCAAAGAGATCATTTGGGTCTCGCATACTACAATAAGCAAGGATAATTTTATCAGATTTTTTAAATTCTCCGGAAACTTAGCTTCATCTATCAGTTAATTTTGTTTTATACTTCTTTGAATCCTTTACAGTGTTGTATTATACTCAGCTGACAGTTAAGGTAATTGGGTCTCTTGTTTCATTTAACATTTCAAAAATCATCTTATTTGCTTACATGAATTCTTGTCAACTCGTTTACTTTGGAGTTAAAAAAAATACATGCTCTTTATTCGTCTGTGTCAGCTTATCCAATCAAAATAAACCATTTAAGTTCTAGGCTATATATATTGTCACTCTTTTTCCCTACACTCTGAGCAGTAGAGATACAGACGTTCATTACACAGGTGAGTACACTATTTTCTGTATTTTCATATCTTTTGTAGGTTGCCTGCTACTATGATAATGAGCAATTTAGAACACAGATGTTAGGCATTTTTTTATTTTTTACATCTTTTATTTTTTAATAGAGTTATTAAGAATGACATATCCATTAAAGTTATAAAATGAAAACCTGTATTTCTCTTCTCTCTCTGTGTGGGTGTGTGTGTGTGTGATGTTACAAACTATTGGGATTTTATCGTTAATCTTAAAGAAGAGGATGAAATGCACAAACTGAACTGAATTTATTAATCTCATCACAATTTTTACAATTTAATTGTGGACAGAGATAATTGAAAATAAATAATGGTGACAAATTAAAACAAGTTTTATAGCATGCGTGAGTATGGAGATAGATAAATAGTACAATTAAAGATGTATGTATTCAATATGTCGGGGAGCACGTTTTATCAAAATATACTGAAAAGGAAAAAAACGCGGGGTAAAGTTTTGAAGTGAATTAATGCTATTTTCTCGAATGTATTTTCCAGTATTACTATTAAACATTTAAACCCACCTTTAGTCAACAAGTTCCAAAATCTCACTTGATTTTGATTGATAATTCATGTGTTATTAAAATTCATATGACGGTACCCCCCAAAAGTGAAAATAAAGTTTCTCATTATCTCCCTCGCGCATCTGTCACAGACTTGATTTTCCTTGACATGGAGTTTATCAGTGCATTTATCTTTCTTAAAGGGATAATATTCAACCCTTCCGTCAGGGCAGCCCTTGGTTGGTCGAGAGTAGCTGGGGCATTCCAAAGCCTTCAAACCATACCGTTCATTGGTCCCAAAGATTTTCGATTGGAGAAAAAGATAGAATAAACGAAGACCAGT